GTGTTGGGCAATAGTGTTAACCTATTTCTTTTAACGATTTATCGGAATTTTTTTCAGTTAGCTGAGGAAAACTGAAGTGAAAACAAAATAGTATTTGAATTAAAAATTAAATTTTACATTTAAAAAATTTAAAACCTTTAAGATTACTTATTTAATAAATAACAGTCATATAAAAATGAAACCATATATATATTCCATGTTTCACTTAAATTCTTAAGTTTAACTAAGCAATTCAATCATCACTTATTTTACTACAGTAAAAAATAAATAAATTGAACGTATAACATTTTAAAAAAATGATGATATAAGTTATAAATATATATTTAAAAAAAAAAAATTGTTTTATTTAACATTTAGGGCCCTAATTTGTTTCTATGCATTTTTATAGAAATTTTCAAAATATATTAGTTTGATTGGCTTACTATAAATGTGTTTATATGATAAATGTATGTAAAATTAAATAAAACTATTTAAACAATCTATATAAATTTAGGTATAATGTATTTAATCTTAAGTATTGTTTATATAATATTATACAAAAGACAAAACTCTTAATTTCATTGGAAATATATAGAAAAGTTGAGTAAGTATTTTGTAAAATTATATTTAATTACGTAAAATTTAACTTAGTGTTATTACTGGCATCAATTAAAAAAAAAAAAATGCATAAGCTTATAGTATTACGTAACAGACTTACTGAGAAGTCCAAAATTTTTAAACATTTTGGCAGGTAAACATAAAGTTTTCTGACAAAAGGTCGAAATATCATGCATTTTAAACATTTAGTGTTGAAATGTTTTCTTAGAATTTTTGCCAATTTCGGAAATTACACTAAAAATAAATCCAAATCTAATTTTTACTTTTTATGGTGTTTGTATTTAAAGGACATACAAAATTTTAGTTTATTTGTTTTGAACAAAAAAAAAAAATATATATACTGTAATAATTAAAAACAAATTTATTACAAGAAAATATTAATGTAAGTTATTGTATAAGAGGTAAATATAATATAATTTTATTTACATAATATACTAAATACTAATGCATAAAAATATACTTTTTATAAACAATAAACATAATTTATTTAAGCGTTGTCCAATATATTAAATTATGTGATTAAATTCAATCAAATAGTTGATAAATAAATGGGACTTACTTTGCTAATCGTATCTATACATAATACAAGATTTTTATTCTAATAAAGAACTTAAATATTGTTAAGTGTGGAAAAAAAAGAATACCATGAGTTAAATATTATTTTTTTGATTCGTTATCGTAAACATTTTGTTCGTTTGTATTTTCAGTGTCCACAATTTTAAGTGCCAATAATCAATGCATAATTTAAAAGTACTGTTAAAAATATATGTGATACTTTCATGAATAATTGTTTAATACTTACAAATAAAATAACGAGCAATATTGTTTTTTTTTGTTTTTTTTTTTAATATGAACAGCACAGTAGGTAATTTTAATAAATTAAAATTATTTTGATTAAAACAATTATTCATAGATATTATGTTGTATATTAAAATACGATATTTAATGCAGATTATTGAAATTATTTACGAATATATAGTTTTTTTTCCCTCAATAAAGATAATAAATTATTATTATCTATTAAATGCATTAATATTCGTTCATATTTTTATCTTGGTACACTTACTGTACAACATTTAATAATTATTTGATTTTACTAACCAATGAAATACTTTAATTAATTTTGCATGATTTAAATAAAAGAATAATTTTGATATCGTTTCGATTAATTTTTTAAATAAGTAAAAATGCTATGAAGAATTGATTTTTTTCTTCTAGTTAAAATAATCTAATGAAATAAAATTGTCATGTTTAATCTATTATTATTATAATTTTTTTTTCGTATACAATTAGTATTGCTGTAGTTAATTTAATTACTTTTAAATTATAATTATTCACACAGTTTTGAAAATAATTGGTGCTTGTCAAACTCAAGTAAAATCCATAAACTTTTAATTACATTTTTTAAAAATTTTTTAAAATCTTTAAAAATTATTATATAATTATGTTTATAATATATGAAATTTAATCATAAACAACGCACAATGACTAATAGAACCCACATCCAAATTCTTAAAGTTTTATATCTAAATTTTCAGGAATATATTTTAGTTTATTTTTTATTTTTTTAACACATTTTACTAAAATTAATCATTGATCGATAACAAATTATAAAAATAATTCATAATGAATAAATAATAATAAAAAGATAATTGTGAATTGCATTATGTTGTTACGTGTAGTAAGCACACTATAATTATAACTACCACCGAAAAGCGTGAACTTAGGATTATAGGAAATCATAAATTATGAAAAGAAAAGTATAATTTTAAACTATAATACTAGTTATTTCAAATTTAAACATCATTGCTTAAGCACTATACAGTATCTACAAGTTAATATTATAATATTTTTTAAGAAAAATTATTAACATTTAGAAGTTTACTTGGAAATTAATATGAATAATATAATTTAATGAAAATAAAGTATAAATAATACAGTGCCCAATGTAATCAAGTATTTTAATGGGAAAGTACAAGATATTATTTCATATAAAACCATTGAAAATAATACTGTTATAACAATTAACTTGTTTTTTTTTCTAAGATTTATGCCGTACTGCTATAGCAGTAGTAATATAATACGTACATTAACTTTTGAAATTAAAACTATTGCAGTACCTGTTCTAAAATTTATTAAAATGGCTTTCAAACATTTTGACTTCAAAAATTAAAAACTGAATTTACACACCTTTAAAAAATTATTAGTTTTGAGCATAAATTTATTTTGTTCCAAATTTTGTACCAAATTATATATGTAAAATATAAATTATGTGTAACTATATAATATAAATATTAAAAGTTATTTTTTTAAGTGCTTTTAAAACCAAACATTGATGGTAAATCAAGCAATATTTTTAATGTTTTTTTTCAGTATTCATACGACTACTTAAGATTTATGAAAATAATATCTTTCCTTAAGTGCCATCAGTGATCACTTTAGAACTCGACAATGGAGCAATACAAAACTTTTGAAATACTTAACTACTTTAGCTGACAAAAAAATATTTTTCATGTAAAAAAATGCATTATTTTAAAACCGATATATATTATAAGATAAAAAAATTATAATTATATAATGAAAAAATAATTATATCAATGTAACTTTTTTGTTTAGTTTAAAATGTTAATTGAATATTTATTATATAGAAATAAATTACAAAATGTAATAATACTCATAGAAAAATAAACATAATTATAATTAAACTAAAAATAATTTTTAGAGACAGCAAAAAATAAATACAAATTATCTAATAATAAGTTTAATAAATAAACTCAGTAACTCAGTAGTAATACAGTCTTATAAAAGTGAAATAAAATATAATGCCTTTGATTATTGTTTGAATAGAGGTAATACATTTCTTTAGTTATACATATTACTATTTGTAAGCTTTTTTTCCGAACATTTGTATTGTTTTGAATAGTTTAAAGAATTACATTTCAAGCAAACTATTATATTTTCAAAATATTGTAAGGACTTGTCTTTTAGATATAATTTAAATAATATTACTATTTTTAGAGCTAATTAAATTAAAGACTGAGACAAATGTCTCAGTATTTCTTTTAACGTTAATTTTTTATTAATTCATCATTTTATTAAAATTAAAATCAAAGCACTCTATTATATGTATAGTTGATCTTTCATTAATTTACCCCTCAGCTTTAAATGTCTCTCTATTTTTCTTGTTGACATCATTGGAATACACCACGATTATCTGGGACTCGAGCATTAATTATATTTCAAACAAATTGTAGTTTTCCAAAATAAATGTCTTAATCTTATTACTTTTTAGTTAAGCATTTAAATATCTCCTAATTTTGTGTAATATAATTTTCATTTTTTTAAAAACGTAATAATAGATCAATTTAAATAGGTCAAAGAAATTATTCGAAAGTAACCTTTTTTGAAAAAAACAAAATTAATTAATGAGACAGATTATTTTTAAAAATAATAATTTTCATAAAATGTATATTGAGTCTCTATTTATTTTATATTTCTAACATACTCCATTATACCCCATATTACTCTTTAATTAATAATATTTTATTTTTTAATGATATCATCAATAATTATTTAAGTTTCTTTAAAAAATATTTTTTGTTATTCATTAATCTTTCTATTACTCTTCATTTTTCGCTGTATATTTTGATATTAATCCTTAGTTTTTAAATTATCAAATAATTTATTATTTATACATAATACATATTGTAAATTTATATTATGTAATTTGAATTTTATTTAATAATAAGTAAATTAATAAATTTTTTTAATAACTTAATTAACTAAATTAACCCAAATAATTTTAATCGCGCTATAATTTTTATTGATTTTTTTAAGAAAAAATTGTACTACATCTAGCCACCAGTTATTATTTCCTTAAACGAGTTATCATATTATTTTAAACTATTTTAAAACTTCCGTTTTCATAATATTTTATACTTTTAGTTTGATTGTTGTGTATTATTATTTAGAAAGCAAAAAATACAATTTTTTTATCGTACTTTATGATAGAAAGTCAAATATTATATTATTTTTCCAAAAGTAACTTATTTTTTTTTCCGTGCAATAATAAAAATGTATGTATAATATATTGTATATACTAATAATATGATTATGTTTAAAATAACAACGCATAATAACTGTTTTTAAATGTTTTAACCCTAGTTTAAAAAAAATATTCATACATATAAAATATTTTTAAGAATACTGATTAGGATTTGAACAACTTAATAAGATTTTAAGTTTATATATTATTTTTATAATATGTGTAAGTAACATTACACAATGTTGCCTAAAATTAGTTTAAAAAAAAAAAAATAAAAATATTATATACAATATGTACTATAAATATTTTTTTAATATATCCAAATTAATGTTGATGTTATAAATATTTTATGTTGCAGCAGTAAACGCTCTCTGGTCATTAATTTTCAGTGGATAATATATTATTTGTGAACAAGCATTTGTAAGTATACTTGTATTTTTTTTTTTTTTTTTTTTTTTGGCATAGTAGAAAGATTTAAACTTATTTTAAAAACATACAAATACATAATTCATTGAGTCAAAGAGAAGTTTCATATTACTTTGGTATGATAATGGTTACACCATGATTCTTAAATAATTCTTATTCAACTTTACTTGGGAAATGTCAATGGAATTTTATACGATATGACGAAAGTCTATTAATTTATTAATTTATTGATTTAATAATATTCAAACAGAAGTATCCAATGTAAATTCGATTTTTTTATTTTTTAGTGTGTTATCTATAGCTCCATACCTATGAATTTGCTTCGACATTTATACTCACAAAATATATAATATAATAGTAATATATAATTCAATTTTGAAAAATAAACAAATTATAAACTTGAAATATTTGTTGCTTGTCCAAAATTTTAAGTGATTACATAACTTAATGAAAATAAAGTAGATGTGATAAAACTAAAATAAATCGAAGGATAAAACCATAGTGTGTAAGCCGATACCGACGAGTAAATGTTTTAGAAATTGACCGTTGAAGATGAACGAGAACAATAATACACTTTTTCGATATAAGTATGGGCTAACTCAAATAAAATACATTAAGTTTCAGAAAAATCTAATCAAATATTGTTTTATAGATAATATAATTTTATTCAATTATTATTTGATCAAATTTAATGAAATGTGCCAAGGATATTATTTTTGTTATACAAAATGATTTTGGATATTTTTCAAGTTATATAACTTACACACAAAAAATACACAATAAGGTTGGAATTGTAATATTCAAAATATTTTATTCCCAAATTATTTCTAAATTTACATATACATATACAATACACACACACATATTTAATCATGGCTTAATTATTGTACCTGCTATAAAACTTCTTACGAAAATAAAATTGCAGTCTGCAATGGGTAATAAATTACCTCGAAAAAAAAAAAGAATTATATGTAATGATATCATATGATAGTGTTTCATGCGAAAGAGCGACGTTAATAATATGTATGACGACAATTAAACTACATGATTTTGAGATCTACAGTATTCTAGTATTTATATGTAGGTAGGTGAGTTTCGCAGAGTGGATTTTGTATTATTATAGTGTACGTTAGTGAAATTTTTATTTTTCTAGACTCTATAGCCAAATGTTGCGGAAAGGTACTTGGTTATATGTATGTCCGTACTTGTTAAAATTATGAATGGTTTTGTAGTAATATTAAATAAAAACTCATGTTATTTGCCTCGCATTTCAGCCACAAATTTTTCACGGAACAAAACATTTGAAATAAAATATGCCATAAACATTAAACAATAATATATGTAGAGTTTTCATTCCATGATGAACGTGCCTCTCATATTTACTGTTTTAGTGAGATAATATTACATTTTAAACGTTTTTGTTTTGAATAATATGAATTCATTTTAAGAATTCATTCAAAATTATATGACGTTTAAATAATGTTGAAATTTTGGTTTAAGTTTAATAAAAATTTTTTATTAATGCAATATACGATTTATAATTATTACAATTTAATATTATAACATATAAGATAGGAATAATTTAATATTAAATACATTTTATTACCTGATATTTGTGATATTATCCTACTTCTTATGACTTTGCATTTTAAAAGCATTAATTAAAATAGCACACCAGTATAATTTTCTTCTTCATCTTATACAAGTGTATTACAAAAAAAATATCTTCGATATCACGTATTAAAATTACTAAGGTGCTGATTTTTATGTAAATATATGATTGTATTGAATGCAGTTTTTTTAATTGTGATTAGAAATAAGTATGTTTCATCACACCCTGAATTAAAAAAAAACACTTTATTTTTAAATGTTTAAATACATATAACTACATATTTTTAATTTTTATACGTAAGTATCTATACAATTCAAAAAAGTATTGATAATAACAATTGTTATGTTAAAAATATTGATTTTGATATTGAAATTTATATTACAAAAGTTATTGATATGCAAAATAACGACCAAAAAAGTCATTTACCATATATTCTCGCTAATTTTTGGTTTTTGGTCATAGTAATAAAATAATTAGGAATTCCAAATCTAACAAGTCTTTTGATAGCGGAAAGCACGGCAAACAAATTGAAAAATTCTTGGAAAATCCGGAGTTATAATAAAAAATAAATTAAATTACATATTCGTTAAAAATAAAATTTTAATTTGTAAAAGATAAAAATTATTCGAAATATTTTTCTGAATGAAGATGAAATTACATTAATGTATATTGTTGGATTCTCACCATACGATGTATGAAGTATGAATGTGTCCTATTATTCTCGGTCAACGTTGAACGCTTTTATAACCGCTACAAAGTGCAAATTAATTTTAAAACCCAACCGCAATATATTAAAATTAAAAATCTTCCAAATGTTTATCGTATCCAATTGTTTCCATGAAGACAATAATTATAATAAATTTAATTAATACAATTTTAAAAAATATGTATGGAATAAACTAATAAATTAAATTTTTTTCATTGAGTTTTTATATTTTTTAATACATATTTTAGCAAATGTAATATATTCATATTAAATCAACCTATTACTAATAACATAATAGTGACTGAGTTCATGGATGACAAAGTAATAACATCAAATAAAGCTGACCCATTTTTAGCTTTTGTTAACTTGTAAAATCATCTTACTCTAATGGGAAACTTTTATAAAAAATGGAGAGTTGAAGTCAATCAAGCGAAATCAGTTCATACAACTTTCACCCTTAAACGTGCTCAATTCCCCGGTGTAAATCTCTATGATAATTGAATCTCACATTCTCAGACTTATAAATATCTCAGTCTAATACTTAACCGTTGTCTTACTTGGGCCACGCACGTTTCTACATACTCAAAACTCTAATTTCCATTAAAAAATATACCAAACAAAACTTCTAATTTACAAATTACTAATCAAGCCTATATGTACCCACAGCTTTCAACTCTAGGGTAATTTAAAAAAAATAAATAATTTAAATAAAATTCAAACTGAACAAAATAATAGTCTATGTAAAGTCACTAATGCCCTAATTTACATTTCTAATTTAACTTCAATTCAGATCTAAAAATCAAAATCATTCAACGAGAAGCCATTATTTACTTCAAAATATACTATGCTAGATCTATTTAACTACTTATATCCAACTTATCCATGCTCACAATTCCTGTAAATCTCTTAAAACATTTAAAAAGAAAATTGTACTAATACCTCCTAAACTTTAACTTAAAAAAAAAAATAATAATAATAATAATAATAATAATTAAAAAACAAATATTAAATATAACAAATAAACTAATAGTATCAGCATTTGGTGGTTTTTATCTTTAAATTTTCATATATTATACCATAAGTACATATTCTAATTGTACCCTAAAACAAAAATTGTATATACCTTGTAAAAATAAAAAATATTTTAGCAAAAATAAGAAGACAAATATTTACTTATTTTGAATTTTTTATTATACAAAAATCCATGCCTAAAAATTAAATTGTTAAAATTAAAGAGTGTAATCGATAATAATTTAACAATAATTTATTGTTATGTCTGTTGCGTCTCGTTTACAACGTCAATTCATACATCAACGCAGGAATGAAATAATTGATGTATTATGTGTAGAGAAAATCTTTATTTATTTTAATTTAGTTATAAAAATACAATATTGTAAATATAAGATATTGGGTGGGTGGTGTTACGACCAGACTCTAAAATGCTGATAAACGAGATCGGGAGTGGTGTTGCGACCGGCCTCTAAACGTCACGAATATCTCTAACCATCTGCAGAATTCTTACCCAGGTATTCTTTATAAATGGCCAGTTTACAAAGAGAAGTGACTGTGGTAATGATGATTTACGATGACACGGTGGCTCTCACATTTTAATTATTATTCTTTTTGACTCTTACACTCTTAGAGTTTCGACTTTTGTAAGAAGTGAGCGATGTATGATCATATCTAAATTATCTTAATTAAATAACAAAATGATATTTTAAATAAAAAAAAAAAACAATAATATAACTAAAAACTAAAAATAAAAATACAATAAAAAAATAACAAACATTTTCTGAATAAAATACAGATTGTATAATTTTTTATAGTTCCTAGTAGATAATTACAATAAGTAAAATACGGAAAAAAGTTTTTACTATGTTCTACAGGTATAAAATACAGAGGATAAATGTTTATTAATCTGTAACTTTAAATAAAAACATAAAAATTACATAAAATACCTACGATTTTAAAATTAGCAAAAGCAAACATATTATTTCAATTGTTATGCAAACCATAACATTCAGATGAAAGTATTAATTTTAAATAAGATGACAAACTATATTTTCAGCCTCAACAATTTTAAACATTCAAAAGATTAATACAATACTAGAATACAGGATTTGATAGAATTTCTAAATTCTCACCGACAAATAATAATTATAAAAGTATTTATTTGTCATATTTTTAAAACAAATATTTTATTTTAATTTAATGTATTAGGTACGATAATTAATACATTTTTCCTAAGTAGACAATTTATTAATTAATCATGATGTATTTACTATTTTTTTAAATTTTTTTTTTTAAATACGCTTAAAAAGCTTATTTTGGCGTTAAATATATTTTTACCTTATTACTTTTAATTCTTGTGGATTAATAGTGTTTAATACCATTTGCTATCTATTTAATATAAATTTTGTTAAATTAAGCTAAAATTGTATAATAATAATAACGTAAAATACTAAAATTTTTACCTGAAAAATATTTATAACACAATTTGTGAAGGATAACGATAAAGGTATATTTTAAAAATAACTTCTTAAATATTAAAATAAATTAAATTAAACATAACGCAGTTTCAAATATTTTGATAAAAACTAATTAAAAATATATTATACAGTGTTTATCTCGTATACATTACAAATTGCGTTAAAATGGTGTGTCGAATCACTAAAG